TCATGCTCACCAACTGTCACAGTCACAACTCCATTACCAAATCCCATTCCAGTGATTGTCAAGCTTGTACTTGCTCCAAAGATGTCAGTTGGGTTGATGGTACTCACAACAGGAGTCGTGGCATTTGAGAACTCATACAAACACAAGCCAAGACATTCACTTGTAGTCGAGCCAATTATTATGGAAACATTAAACACTCCTCCTAAATTTGGTGAAGTGATGCAAACGATTTCATTGTATGCGACAGACTCAACTTCACATGGTATTCCTACAACTGCTGCATCACTGGAGAACCCACTACCCTGGATAGTAACTCTGGCACCCCCAGCTATGGATCCACTATCTGGAGTAACACTATCAATGTGTGGAATCAGTTCAAATGTGGCTGATCCACGGTTCAAAGCAAAACCATGGTTCTCCACTTGTACAGTGATGGGATGTTTAACTCCAACAGTTAATGCATCTTCAGTATCTATATCACATACAATTATGGTCTCAGTACAGGACTGTACGTTACATGGATGACCATCTATAGTGACTTGGTTAGCACATTGCGTGGTTGCAAATCCTTCTCCAGTAATGGTTATTTGTGTACCACTGGTACCACTAGTAGGATTCACAGAGTCAATGATTGGAGTATAGCATCCAGTATATACAAAGTAGAATATGCTGCTGTCAACACCAACTGGCTGGGGAGTAGCACAGGATGGATCAGCAGCCAGACAAGATGATGATGATGAAGTGACTGAAACACCTGAAAACAAATTAAAATATATTTAACTAAAGCAATATTCCAGTGCTTACCGGTATATCCATGCTGAGGTATGTATGATACCATCTAAACAGCAACTGAGATCAAACAGGTGAAGAAGCCATTTGAGACAGTATTTGAGACTGATTTAGAGACTCTCGGATGTCACGAAGACCAGAAATGAGACTTGAATGTGACAAACCTGGTTTGCATATTAATAGTTATATATTTTATAGTTATAAAAATTATGATTTAATACAAGAATAATTATTTGGAAGCATCTGAAACTATTGTTGTGAGAATAAAGATACCTTGTATAATTACATACAGTAAAATGTGTGTACATCCTCATAAACACTTCAACTGCTAATAGTGAGCATATAAATATCAAGCAATTGCAGTAATATACATACCAGAGTTGGTCTCATGCAAAGCCTCAAATCCACTGACAGTTAGACTTAGTGGTTTAGAGGTGGCTACTGGATCGGTAACGATGACAACTCCTTTCATGAAAAGTTCTCCATCACTGTCAACTGGACCACTTGAATAATAGTATGTCCCAGGTGCAGTGAATGTATTGGAAAATGAACCTGTAAAAAAGTAATAGTGAATTTATATTACATCAAGTAACCAAGTTTATCACACCTATCAGTACATGTATTTTCAACAATATACATTTTGATCTTCAAATTCATTCCAAATTCAGCAGCCAGCACAATGTGTTTGTGTGGTTCAATATGCATTGGAGAGGCATGTCAGTGTGATTTACATAAACTGCGGGGTATATAGGTATTGTGATTTATTACAATCCCATGTGATCGACTGGCTCTCCTCCAATTAGCTGTGTATTACAGCAAGTCTCAGAAGTATTGGGGCAGCCAATTTGCAAACTCGCTAGCGAATTAGCTAACTGCTTGGGTTTGACTAAACAGTGGCTTTCAAGTCTCGCTGGCGGCGACTTGTAGCCACGTCACTCTGGGCGAGTCTAAGTTGCATTAGGGGACATAGGATAATTTTACGTAGCCTGGTAGGTGCATGTCTAGACTCCCCTGAATGATTTACTTTGTTAAGAGGCGTCATAATGTAAAAGTAGTTCCCCTGTTAAGCCTGAGAATGGCCACAGTCAGCTGGCGTAAAGCGATAATATGATATATGCGATTAATCCTCCGATATTTACTATATGGGGTAGCCATATTGAACACTGCTTGAAACTATTTAAAATAAAGAACCACGTTGATAAACAGTTTCTAATAAATCAGGAAGAAAATGACAAACTTTCACATCTAAATGATCCGTCGGGGTAACATTAACCAACCGCTAAAAAAATAGACCTGGTATCTTTGAAAGCGAAATCGTCATCCAACTGTGGCTGATTAGCTCCTAAAGTATGACGACCGTTCCCTGCTGTTATATAGATTTACCTTAAGGGAACTGATCATTACCACCCAGCCGGTTTCCTGTGAGTTTGACTCGGTTTACCGTACCGGTCGTTGCTTTACCGTACCGACCGTTGCGTTACCGTACCGACCGTTGCGTTACCGTACCGACCGTTGCGTTACCGTACCGGCCGGTGCTTTACTGTACCGGCTGGACAATTACCGTACTGATGGGACCAATACCGACTATTTATCACCTTCGATTAATGAATGCGTGGTAAACAAAGCCCCGGTAACTGATCGGCGCCCTGCCGGTAACCGTGAGTCATGCATGAATTAATTGGGCATTTTGCAAACAATAAGAATTTTTTTTTAGGACTTGTACAACAGAGTGTTACGTCCCAGTCGACTAGAGGACTCGATGGTTTAATTATTTGTTTATATTTGTCAGTAGCTCACACAGTGGAAAGAAAGTCGGGCAACCGTCGAAATACAAATAAATAAATAAATTAAATAAAAAAGTCTTTCTGAAATTCTTCGCATGTGTTTTTTTCAATATATGTGTGTTATTCACATATTCATGATCGCCTGTAACGCTATAAAACGACAGTCCTAAATCGTAGCTTACCCACAACGTTGAATAAAACGTCTCAACCTGTCGCATGAATTCGATGATACTTGCATAATCTGTCAGCGTGACTC